AGCTTTTTGCACCTGGTGGGGGGAGGGAGCAACCTCCACTCCCGCGTTGGGAGCAAACTTTGGGATTGGGGATTGAGGCTGGAGGCTGGGGGGCTCGGAGGCAGAGCTGCAGATGGAAGGATTCTGGGTTCCCCCTTAGGAAGGGTTTCCCCTTAGGAAATAGGGGAAGGGTTCAGTTTGTCAGGGGTGGGGGTCAGCAGGTGGGGTGGGGGAGGGAACAGATGGATGGAGCGCCTCCTGTGTGCCCGTCTGCCTCTCCCTCCAGCCTCTCCCTCCCTCCTCTCCTGCCATTTCCAGAGGCACGGGAAAGGTGATCTCGGACTTGACCCCTAAATCACAGCTGCTGGTGGCTGCACCTCGCTCGGGGATGAGCGCAGCCCCATCGTGGGGCTTGGGCAGCTTAACCCTTTCGTCCCCGCGCGCTCCGGGGCCAGCGGCAGTGGAGCCCCTGACCCCAGCCGGCCGAGCAGCCCGCCTCCTCGACGCGGTACCTTGGATCCCACCAGGAGGCCACAAAAGGGCGAGACCACGGGGCACTTGTGAGCTCTGGGCAGCGGCCAGCGGGCCTGCGCTGCCGGGGAAGCCCAAGGAAGAGCCCGAGTGAGCAGCGGAACGGAGAGGGATGTTTGGATCGTGTTAACTACCCAGACAAATGCACTTCGGCATGTCTGCATTTATGGAATCCATATGTTGTCATGGCAAATGAAAGGACAGTAACACGTCTACAATAGACTTAGAATAACAATACACAGTCGGAAGGGACCCGCACATTCTCCCCCCTGGAACCCTTCTCAGCAATAGAGGCGTAGGGAGAGGTTTCCTTTCAGTCACCTCTGAGTCCACATGGGGTGTGCTTTTTCTTTTTTATCTCCCCATTTATATGTGTGTCACCCAGTTTCCCCAGCAGAAGAAAACCCAGGCCCCAGAAGTGAAGCTCTTTGGAAGTAAGATCTCCTAAGCACGCCCTCATCTCTTTCCCCCCTTAAAACTGACCCAGTCACATCTACAGCCTTGGACCAAACACCAGCTGCTCACATTGCAACCCCAGATTATGAAAATTGCAAGGGCAGAGATTCTTCCTCAAATCCACCATCCACATTTTCATCACGAGACCAACATTTCTATGCTCTGTTTGCAAAAATCACAATCATTTCTAGCAGACATGGAGCCAAAGACTCAGTGCGGCTCTCCACTCACCTGTATCTGGGAACCACCTTGTGCATTTGTGTATACAGATGTATTCACGCACACAGAGATGCAAATCTAGAAGCATTCCAGTGTGTATTTATACACTCATTTATGCATGTATCTTTGTGTTTACATATAACCATTCATTTGAGCGAGAGGCAGAGAAATAATACACATCATTGCAATATTTAGCCTACATTCCACTTTCCCTCCCTTCTGTAAAAATGCCTGAAAAAAGAGATTGGTCTAAAATTTTCTGCTCTCTTGCCAGCTAAATGAAAGATTTAGACGCTGACTTTCTGAGTTCCTTTTTTTTTCCGTTTTGTACATAAAATAATCCATATAGCTGCTGGATTACCGCCTAAGCATTATTCAATCATACAAGCCTCATACCTCTCCTCCTTATAACGAATTCACTCAGTAAAATTAGCATAAGTATTTACCAGATTAAGCTGACATTTTCCTATACTGCAACATGAAATACATTTTTTTCAGCCAGCATTTCCCCCAAAGAACCTTTTCCAGTGGACAAACAGACTTCTCCGCGTCGTTTTCTATCGGAAACAAACCACAAGTTCGCATCTAGTCCTATTTACATTTTTGAAAGGAAACAAATACATAGCATTTCCATGAATTTTTAAGCTCTACTATGAGAAATCTAATTCTGCTACCTCTTAAAAAAAAGCCAACAAATTTATGAAGCTCCATGAAGATAGATAAATAGGAAGCAAATCTAGTCCTGAGGCTCTGAACAATTTTCCTTACCTGATGGATTATGGAAAAATTCAGAATTTACCAGTCTTCCTTCAGTCAGCTACATTTTACACTGACCTGCACTTTGGACTGAAAGGGGGAAAAAAGGGAGAGAGAGAGAGAGGGAGAAAAAGAGAGATTAACTGTTGCCAATGAAAAATTTAAAATAATAATCAGAAACCGGACAAACTGAGGGTAAAAATATACAATGGCTACAATAAAGATAAATATTTATTTAATCAAAGTAGAAGTTGTGTTTGGACTGTAGGAATGTTTCATCCTTCCCTTAAAAAAAAAAATCAAGAGAAAAAAGCCAGAGTCTTTGGAGGCGCCTGGAGAGTCCCCATTGTCCCGGGCCATCGAGAGCCCAGAATGGCATTAACCTCACAAAAGACACATTGTGTAAGGAACAAAAAAAAAGCCCCTTCTCCTACAATAACTTTTAGCTTTTTTATTTTTAGCAAATGACAAAGGTTTCGCCAGTACCGACAGAGAGACCTGTGGTAAACCAGCCGCCGCTGGGCTGTATTGATCGACAGTCCTGCAAGGAAGAGCTGTCAGGAAAAGTTTGAATGGCAAACCAGATTTGGCTCAGAGAGAAGAACCCCCCGATTTTTCTGAGATGTATTTTCTTTCTTGTTTTCCTAAATAAAACAGTATTATTCCCACACCAAATCCACCAGGATTAGATGAGGTAACTCTGCAAAATCCGAAACCGTTTTTTTTTTTCTTCTTCTCTCCCTGCTCTTGACTAAGAAGCTGAATGGACAATCTCTCAAAATGAAGAATTCTTTCCAAATCAAACAGATCTCCCGAGGATTTCCTAAATTTTCTTTTAAAATAAATAATCTAGCTAGGCTGGGACACTCCCCACCCCCATTTTTTTTTCCCGAAGAAAAATAAGTTTTTAGTGCGCATTCTCTACCTGATGTTATAGAGTTCACTAATAATGCCTTTAGAGACAGAAATGTTGTCTCTGCATTTGTTTGCAGATGACTTAAAGTGCAAATTGCATTTTATTTTATTCCAGACATTGCAATTTCAATAGTATGAGTTCATATTTAGAACTTGCATAAATACATACTTGTCATTAAAAAAACCTATGGCAGTAGCAGTGAAGATAAGGTTAGAATTTAAGGGAAAGAAAAAGAGAGGGAGAGGGAGGGAGAGAGTGAGGGAGAGAGAGAGACAGAGAGAGAGAGAGAATGAGTTCTTCTTGCATTTGTTTGCTTGCTTTTGGAGGTGCCTGTCCCCCAGCCTAAGTGATGGCTTTGAAGTACTGGGAATCAGTACAGTAGCAGGGTCCCTGGCTGCTGGTTTTGATTCCAGGGACCTCCTTTGGGCTCTGGGGGGATGTACCGCTCCTAGTCTTTATCTGAAATCCATCCTCTCATTTCAAGCCCTTTGGCTTTGAGACTGCTCCAAACTCTTGGAGATAGCTGTAAGACTCTTTTTTTTTTTTTTTTGCATTAGGCATTAAGGAAAGGGTATACAATCCCTTCCCTGCTCCCCACCTTTGTACACTGTAGACCTTTCCTCGCTATTTAAATATATTCGCTTTCTTTCTTATGAATTTAGTCTGAAATTATTTTTCACTGCCTTTATTACATCCCTGCGTTTGATGGCAAAATAGCTTCCTGTGTTTTGAAAACATCTGCTTTCCAGGTTTTACACAGAAAATTGATTTTACTTTTCTCTTAAGTCCAGAAAGGTAGAAAGTTGGACTTGCTTCCAAGTGCAACTTTTCCTTTCCTTGTCTTCCCTTAAGTTAGCCCCCCCTTCAGTTCTGATTCACTTTCTCCCTTTATTTCTTCTAATCATCACTCCCCTCTGCCCCTCTTCTTCTAAAGAACCAGAGAAGATTGATTGCATCTTATTTCAGAAGACAAAATTAACATACTCTATATTTTGTCTATGGTACGTGTTAAAGTTTTCTCCGTATTTTCTTTACTTGCCCTCTGATTTGGGGGAGGTAATTTTCCTCCTTAAAAAAATTCCCAGATTTGCAATTTAAAGTGGCCTCTATTCTAAGTCTCTGCTGATTCTTTGCTCTTTCACTTAAATCTTTGCTTTAAAGCTCTGTCCTCTCCATTATTGTCCCCCCCGCCCCCCCTTTCTTTGACCATGCTCTCTTCCTATTTAATTTAAACATTGCTGCATTTGCCAAAAAAAAAGAAAGGAAAAAAGAAAGGGATAAAGAAAAGACAAGGAGGAAAGAAAAGAGAAAAAAAAGGAAAAAAATCTTTAAAAAAAATCTTAGCCAGGTTCCTATTGTTGCTTCTCTGCATTTCACTTCTCTGTGTGTATGTGTGCGCGCGCGTGTGCGTGTGTGGTGTGTGTGTGTATGTGTGTATGTATGTGTTTTTAATACATGCATAAACTTTTGGTGCCTCTCTCCCTCTTCCTGGGCTCTTCTCCCATCCTCTCTTCCTGCTCTCCTTGCCCTGCTCATCACTTTCCCCTGGCTTTTTTTTTTTTCCTCCCTTCCTCCCCTCTGCCTCCCTCCACCTCCCCCTTTTCTTTTTTGCTGAATCTTATTGATCCAGAAGGTGGCTAATTAGCCCTTCCCGTCGTGCCTGGGTAATGAAGCACATGCGCACTGAATTAATCACAGCCATTTTTTGCAGGAAACTAATTAGCAGAATAAAGATCCAAAGACTTTTTTTTCTTTTCACTCATCAGCTCCCACTTCCAGCGCGTCCCCTCCGACCGCTGCAGCCGCCGCCGCCGCCGCCGCCTCCTCCTCCTCCTCCTCCCGGCCGCAGCCGCCGCCGCCGCCGCCGCCGCCGCCGCCTGCTTTGCATCCCAATTACAGCCTAGAGCCGCTGCCGCCGCCGCCGCCGCTTCTCCTCCGTGGCCCCTGCCCGCTCCGGGGGCTGTAAACTCCCCGCCAACCATGCTGCTCGGCGGCAGCGGCGGCGGCGGCTCCGGCTCCCCGGCTGCGGCCGCCTCCCGCCCCGGGCTCCGCCGAGCGCGCTCCAGCTCCGCCGCCGCCGCCGCCGCCGCCGCCAGCCGCGCGTCCTCCGCCGCCGCCGCCGCCGCCGCCGCCGCCGCCCCCCGCCAGCCGCCGCTGCTGCCTTGATGGGCTCCGCGGCCCGAGCGCCTCTTTTCGGGATTAAAAGCGCCGCCAGCTCCCGCCGCCGCCGCCGCCGCCAGCAGCGCCGCTGCAGCCGCCGCCGCCGGAGAAGCAACCGCGTAAGTGGCAACTTTTCCCTCTTTTTTCCCCTCTCTCCTCTCTCTCTCTCTTCTCTCTCTCCTCTCTCTCTCTCTCTCTTCCCTCCTCTCTGCTCTCCCCGCCGCCGCCGCCGCCGCCGCCGCCGCCTGCTCCTCCTCCTCCTCCCGCCGCCGCCGCCCGGACGCGGGGCTCCTCGGGGCGCCCGGGCTGCTTTGCATGGGGCTCGTCCTGCCCCCTCCCGGCTCCCGCGCCCGGCCGCCCGCGCGCCCTGCCCGCTCGCCGCGTCCCGCTCGCCTTCCCCCTGCGCCAAACTTTCTCTTTCTCTTCTTCTTCCTCCTCCTCCTCCTCCTCCCGCCGCCGCCGCCGCCGCCGCCGCCGCCGCCGCGCCCGGGCCGCCCCCTCCTCCGCGGCCGCCCGCGACCCCCGCGAGGGTGGAGGCGCCCGGGGCGAGGCCCGCGCCGCGACTTTGGAGGCGCCGCCGGGCAGGGCCGGCCGGGGCGCGGGGCCCAGGGCGCGAGGGCGGCCCCGGGGTCCGGGCGCCGAGACAAAGGCGGCGGCGGCGGCCGGCGGCGGGGCGCGGGGCGGGGGGGGCCCCGCCGTGCCGAGCGCCCCCGCCCCCGCCGCCCCCGGCCCCCAACTTTGCCCCACCCCGAGCGGCGCCCGGGCCCCCCGGGCTGAGCCGCCGCCGCTGCCGCCGCCGCCGCCGCCGCCGCCGCCGCCGCGCGGGGCGCGCACCCAGCCCGGAGCAGCCTCCGGGGCCGCCGCCGCCGAGCGGCCGGCCGGGCGCCTGCCCGAGCCCGGGCGCCACTGGCCGGCACCACGGCCGCCGGGCCCGAGTCCCCGGGTCGGAGCCGGGCGCGGGGGGCGAGGCGGCCGCCGACATGCTACCTGCGCGCTCCGCCCTGCCCCACTGGCAGCACCGCGAGCGCCCAGAGGGGGCTCTGCCCTGGGCACTAGGGGCTCCCGGGGGCTCCAGGCAGCGCTGCCGGCCACGGCGAGCCCCAGCCCGGCCGGCCTCTCCTGGGCCAGCTGAGTCGACAGACGTCGATGCAGTCCCTTTCCTCCCCCCCACTCCTCCTTTGTTTTTTTTTTCTTTTCTTTTTCTCTTTTCTTCTTTCTTTCTTTTTCTTTTCTTTTTTCTTTTTTTTGTGTGGACTCACGCGAATCTGGGATTGTTTACATTCTCTTCGCCACTCTCTTCGCCCTTCGTCCTGCACCATTCCTCTATTCCCTGATTTTCTCCTGGAGATGCAAAAAAGCAAGTTCCTGGATTTTTGCATTATGCATTTTAATGTACCTCCTTTTGCATATCTCCCGGAGAGTTGTAGACCTTTGTGTATTTTGTGCAGTGTTATTTAAATTGTGTCTGGACTCTACTCTTAGGTTTCTTGTTTGAGCTATTAAATTTTTTTTTGAAAAATTCTGTTTTCACTTTGCAAATTAATCTGTTGCTCAGAATCTGACTTTTGCAAAATGTGCAATTCCTTCGACTGGGGCAAATTCTTTGATTACAAGTGCTTTCAGAAATCACCCACTCTTAACTTTTCCCCCCTTGTTGCTTTGAAGTAGGGTAAATATGACAATTTTTATTTGGTCTCAATTATTGAAATCTGATCTAAGGACTGTGTGGAAGAAGGAGGCTGATTGCCTTTTTCTGGCCTCTAGTTCTAGTGACTTTTAAAAGGTTTGTTAAGGACCTTTGAAGAATATGACATACGGTGATCGCTTGACTGTAATGCAAATTACAGAACATAAATTCACTTTTGAATTAAAAAGGACTCGAGCCCTTTCAATGTGTTTGTATGGGGGGGGCTACTGAAGTATTTATTATGTTTTTTAAAAAATTACTTTTTGCTCTCTACTTTGGGAGAATAGCTAGTTACAGACCAACTTATTTGGAGGTCCTCGGAAAGAGACTTGGGAAAAGGGAGAGAGGGTTGTAGATTGATCAGAATCTGCATAATCAATAGGGCAGCGTGCTGGAATCGTGTACCTACATTTACTGTAAATTTCTACAATATCTGCAGCGTAGGTACTCTGGTGCCGTGCTCAGCTGCTGGGAGCGGGAGGAGCGAGGCAGCGCCGGTATTGACTGCCCAGTCCTCTGAAACATTATAGGGGAGCCCCCTCGGGGGTGGCTCATTTCAAACCTCCTTCATTTTATTGTGCTATAGATAACACATATATGAAGGTAAATGTTTGGGAGCCACTCTGTTTACATGCGGGGGGGTGTTCAGGTACTGTCTTCACCAAGTACAGGTGCCCTATAGGTGGAGGGGAGTGGGAAGTATGGAGGGGGGGCTTAAGGGGATGGGAATTGGCTTATTGAATGACCACTTCAGGGGGCCCTCTTATCTTATAACATAAGATACCTTTAACTGGTGCAAGTAATTTAGAGATGCGAAGACGAGAGAGGAATACGCCAGAGATGGAGGCTGTGTAAAAAGTAAGGGTTGTTGTTGTATGGCTCTGGAGGGGAGAGCGGGGGGCCGGGGGTGGAGAGAGGGGGGAATGAATGCAGACACACTTATCTTATAGTCAGGCTTGAAAGCTTGGTGGTAGGTGAATCCATATTTGGCAATGATTTTGAAATGGTCGAGCAAATGGTGCACGGAGAGGATTTCCTAAGAAAGTGTCCACGGAGTCCGTTTTGAAAGGATTGCGTGCGGTTTGGGGGAGCTGAGGTGTGGGCAGGGTGCTCTGCTCCCTGTAGGCCAGCAGCCTAGCCTCCCTTTCTCCATGTCCCCTCCCTGCCCCCTGCCCGAGTTTTAGTTTTTAATTACTTAATGCTGAAACGCACAGAGCTTATCTAAATATTTGCAAATGCTCTTTCCTATTGATTTCTCTGAATAAACTGCCCTGCTCTGGTCCAGAGAAGAGACAGTGCAGCTCTGTGGGCCTTTTTTCAGCCTGGGAAGTCTGGGGGAGGCGTGTTGGGCTGTGCTCAGGGTTGGTGATGGGTTATGGGTCGGTAGGGTGGGGGGCATGAAGATAGCAGGACAGGGGACAAGGAGAGTTCAGGCTCTGGGTGGTGGGAGCTAAGAGGAATTGGGCTGGAGCTGGCCCTGTCCATGATGGATGTGTGTATAGAGTGAGTGTGTGTGTGTGTGTGTGTGTGTGTGTGTGTGTGTGTGTGTATGCATGCATATGCACTTGCTGCCCCCAACTAGCCTCTGCTAAGTATGGAGCACTTCTCCAGGGTTGGGTGACTGTCTTCTCAGAGGCACAGTGGGCTCGAATGTGACCCAAGGTGTAGGAATCCTGCAGTGGAAGGAAGAAGAGAAGATGCAGAATGGGGTCAGGTCAGCTGCTCAGAGGCCAACCCCCCTCCAGCTGCTGGGGTTTGATTTTTGTGTGGCTATTTTAGGCTCCTCCCGCCAGGTTACAAATTGTGCCTCCCCTCTCAGGTGCTGGCTCTGGAGCTTAAAGGCACCAGAGTCTCGGCTGGCGGAGATGTCCGCTCCCTGCCAGAAAGAGAAAACTCACAATACCGAATCCAAAACAAAAAAAACGAGGGAGGAGGGGGAGGAAAAAACCCCTATTGAGTCCAGGCAAATAAGGTTGGCTGTCCAGATCCGATTACAAAGCAGCTTTGAATATGCAAGACAGCACACAAGACCAGTTATTCCAGTTACAAGAAACTATTAAAAAAGAGAGAGAGAGGGAGAGAGAGAGAGAGAGAGAGAAAAGAAAAGGCATGTTTAGGTCGTAATTTGTTAGTACAAGGAAAAGAATCCCACATAAAGCTGTGCTGCTCTCCCCTAACCACCCCCCACCTTTTTTTTTTTTTTGCTGGCTTTTCATAGAATTCCCTTGCCCCTTCCCTTCTTCTGTAAAGGTTCTTTTATTAAAATCTTTTGGGTTTAGGAAGATCGCTGCAAGCAACACATTTTCTGTACTTTTTTCCCCCCCTTTATCTTGGAGGAGAGTTGGCAGGGGTTCTGTGGTTTGCAGTTACACAATATGTTATCATGTTTTTAATCACTAAATCATTGCAGTGGTTATAGATTTACAGTCCGGGGGTAGTGCAGAGAGGAGCAAAGGCGGCTGTATATATGCTTTTAAATTACACCAATGTAAACCAAGAACAACAGCTGCAAATATGGTCCGTCGACTTCAGTCGCCCCCCCCCCCCACCTTCCTTCCCTGGATCTCAGTTCTTTTCCCCTCTGATTTCCCCCCAATTGTTTGCTTCACTTAAAGTCAGCTCCCCCTGCCTCTGTGTTCTGTGTCTCTTCACCACCCCCCTTCTTCCTCCATTAATTTTTATTTCAGACCCCCTCGCCCCAGAGAAGCTAAAATTCAAACTCTGGCAATAGAACTTTGGAGCAGAGCATACGTATGGAGGGGGAAAGCGTGGATTTCCTAAGAAATGTGCTGGGTTTCCATACCGACTTCGTGCGGGCCGCTGAGAAGGTGGGGGTGGGTTGCGGGCCGGCCGCAGGCAGGCAGGCAGGCCAGCAGGCCGGGCCGCCTAGAACCCCAGTGTCCTGTCACCACGAGCCCACTTTCAGCTTCTGTTTTTCATATTATTATGTAACAGAATCCTTGGCAGCATTAAAAATTCAGTATTACAAGCTGATTGTAATGCTGCCTCATTAGACACCACTGTCTGGCCTTGTATTAAGTGAAACACAGAACATGGCTTTTAGATTATAAACACCAATAAATATTAAGGATCAGCAGAGGGGGGGAGCAGTCAGCTGGCTTGGGGCCCCTTCTGGTTTTCTGCCCTCTCCCATCTTCCCGACACCCCCCACCCCCTCCCCCACCCTCAGGGTCACTGTCATCTGTTTTCTGGGGATGCTGAAGTGTCGACCTAGTGACATTTTCGAATGGCTTTTTATAGAGTTATCTTGTGTACACAAAAGGTTTGGAAGTTTGTTTTGTTTTGATCTGCCATAAACAGGTCCTTCACTTTGCTGATGTCATTTCCGTTCGTATTTGAGTTGTTTATTGTGCTTCTTCTCGGGGCCTCTCATCCCTCCCCCGCCTGGCTCTGTAGCTCTGTGTGGCTGCC